CGTGGTACGCAGACCTGAGCATGCCCTAAAGTGGCACCAGCCAAGGCAGGTGTTGCACTTGACTGACGTCACATTACGGAATATCCTGGCCTGACATACCGTGCAGATTGTAGGGGGAACCAGGAGTTGTTGGCGGCGGCGTGTGGGTGGTGGTGCGGTTGTGTGTGTTATGTGGTCTGTAGTGGCTGTGGTACGGTCTGTGGTGTTATTATGTTGTTGTGTTGTGGTGACTGTGTGTGGCTGCTGTGTGAGTGTGTGGGGCTGCTCGGGCAGACTGTGGTTAGCCGTGGAGGCTGCTTTGTTTGAGCAACAGGGGGCCACGTACGACGTGGTCCACTGTCTATGTGTCCGTAGTCCCGAGCAGACTCTGAGGTGACTCCACCCCTCGCAGGCATTACACTTGACTGAGGTGGAGTTGTGGTGTAATCGTCTCCGGCATACACAGGAGGTGTATGTTTCTGGCCCAGGGTTTGACTCGATGCCAGCCCTGAGTAGGAGAATACGTAGTGAATGTAGCCCTATGGACGGACAACTTCTGAGATACTTCGCCGAACTAAACGGGGTTAGATCGCCGAAACAACAGCCCTTGGTCGGGTGAAACCCGAGTCATTCCGGTACGTAGAACCGGCTGTCGTGGGAATGTGAAAGGAACCATCTACATATGGGGTATTCCATGATTAAGTGAAACTTTGTGCCCAATTATAAAGTAACTTATTAAACATGGAATGCTTGATGAATCAATGCTAACTACCTCAAGTTAACATATTTTCGAAGAAAAAATTTAGTTATATTATTTTATTACACTGTAAATGCACTCAAAACTTCAACATTAGAAAAGTAATTGAATACGACAATATTTCTTAATACAGAAGGCTCCGCAAAATCACGTATTTACAAAGTTATTATTTTTTTGAAGTGGGGAATAAATGTCTCGATCTTTCTTCGTCCCAAAGAAACAACATGGCATTGAAGAAAAATTGGCATTTAAATTATATAATGGGATGAAATCACTACGGTTTTGCATGTCCCACCCGTGACAAAAAAGTTTTTAACTTTGTAATGCTTAGTTACTACTTTCGAGAGTTTTCTATAATTTCATAAATAGAGTATGTTTATACTATGCAGCCCCAAGGTGTATTAAACAAGGTGTGATTGACAACTCAGTGCGGCTCTCTTTTAAGGTACTATAATGTCAAAAAGTATAAACAAACGAATTAACCCTTAGTGATGCATGTATCTTGTCAGCACTGATACCCAAGGCTTTTATTTTGATTATAGTTTTGTTTTACAAACATTACCTGGAATATATATATTATGTCAATAAAATAAAACAAATTGTTTATAAAATCGTTTTAGCAATTTTATTGTTTTTAATTGCCCAAGTTTTATGCTTTTGTGCGTTTATTTTTATATTTAAATTTTTTATCCTAAACATTATTCGACACTTATAAAAGTATGATTTTTCATTCGTTTCCAATTTTATATGAGTGCTTAACTGTAACAATTTTTAAATTAAGTTTTTTTCATGCGAAATAGTTTGGGTATAAACGAGCTCGTTTGAAAGTGCTTGGCTCGGACGGACAACAAATGAAATCTCTTTCCTTGAAGTGGTTTTCACAAACGCGAGATGAATCACGTAGTACAACACCACATCGCTGCCATCTTAACTCGCAACTAGGTGGTTTAAAACATCGCACTATTTTCGTGTCCTGACTTCTATTGCATACAGCGCACCGTTCCAAAGTTTTGCTCTGTTTCATCTTGGTTTCCTTACATTAAATATTTAAGCAAAGTCGAACGTATTTACTTATTACCAAACTTTAAATGTGCTTACTTGCTCTCCTCGGCAGTTTATCTCTTAACAATTTCACGTTTGTTAAGAAAATTTGTTGCTTGAAAAATTTTTGTGTACATTTTTTTTAAACAAATTCAAATTTGAAAAAAAAATATTTTCAAATGGGTTAACAATCCATTTCAATTTGACATATAGTTTCTTATGAGAGCAATGTCAAAATCAATCACACTTTGTTGAATACATTTTGTGCTGCCTTATTTCATTTCTTTTATTATATTATAAGTGCCTACTTTAGAGATTTTGAAACGTTTTATCGTGTCCCGCCGTAACAATCACTTATACATTTTTTCTTGTGGTGCCTAACAATAAAAAAACAAGTTTAACGTTTCAAACCTATGTTTAATGCCACAAAACTTTTGACTAAACACCATACTACTTTTGATGGGCTAAGCGATGTAGTAAAAAATTTCGCGTGGCTAACACGAAAAGTCAAGGTAAACATTACTATCATAGAGACGCCAGAGAATTCTATGTTGTTGTTGTTGTAGCAGCACGTAGTCCCCGAATTGGTTGGTTGTTTATTCATCTTCGTCTTCCCCATCTGACTCCTCCAACCTTCGCTTCGGGTGTCAGATGGGTGGGATATGTAGGGCATGCGAACAAGTGTGCGGTGTTGTGTGGACCAGTTCCGCATGCTGGGCAGGTGTCAGCGATCTCTGGGTCTAATCTGGTTCTGTAAGAGTTTAAGCGACTGCACCAGCCAGATCTGAGTTGCGCCAGTGTGGTTCTTGTTTCGCGCGGTAGTTGGAATTCGCTCAAATTGAAGGGAGGCGGCCGGCCGCCGAGGACTATGTTTTCGTGGCATCCTCGTGTTGCGGAGATGACTGCTTCGCGGTGAAGGTTATTGATTCCCTCAAGGTATGCCTCGCGGCTCAGTGGCAAGTGAAGTTGTTGGTCGATGTCTGCTTCTAGGTGACTGAAGTGTCTCATTACGTGTCTTGGTGGTGCAGTTCTCTGTGTCAGGCTGTAGTTAGGGTGAGTTGTTCTGTGACAGCCTAGCATGAACTGTTTTGACAGCAACATATTGTGATCCCTTTCCCGGAGCATTGTAGTCTCGTCGTGTAAGTGTTGTTCGGAGGACATAAGGAGACACCCTGTCGCGGTTCGTAGAGCGGCAATTTGGCATATCTGAAGGTTTTCCCACTGCATGTCACTCGTGCCAGCTGTCCACACTGGGGCGGCATAGTTTGCAACGGACCGGCCGATCGCTTTGTATGTCACGAGCAGAGTTTCCTTATCTTTTCCCCAAGTGCTGGCCGCGAGCGACTTGAGGACTTTATTTCTGCAAACTGTAGTGGTGTGTGCTGCGAAGGACATGAGACTGTCGAACGTGACGCCTAGTATCTTTGGGTGGTTGACTGTCGGAACGTTCAGTTCGAGCCTCACCTCTTTTGTCCACGTGGTGAAGAGTGTAGCTGTTGACCTAGCGGCCGAGATTTGTAAGCTGCGCTTGAGCAGTGTGCACATGCCGTCGATGTTGTTGCCCGTTGCCATGATGGAACAGTCATCCGCGTATGACACTGAGGAGACTTCCTGTGTTGGAGGGGTGAGTTTCGCTAGATATAGGTTAAACAGGATCGGTGATAGTACCCCACCTTGTGGTACACCCTGCTTAATCCTACGTGGCTTTGATGTTGTGTTTCTGAATACTACAGATGATTGCCTCCCGCAGAGGTAACTAACAATCCAACGTTTTGTGTGCGGCGGTAGGGAGGACGATATGATGTCCTCTATAAGTGTTGCATGGTTGACGGTATCGAAGGCCCTTGATAGGTTTGGTGCCACTAGGATGGTGCGGGCGAAGGCGCTCGCCCGTTTTTCCATATCTCTTGGATGGTGTGTGTGGCTAGTGAGGCGTTAAAAGTTTGGTGAGGTATTCGACTCCTGGGGCATCCAATTACTTTAGCATCAGCATGGAGATGCCATCTGGGCCGGCTGATTTCGATGCCTTGGCCTTGCGAATCGCGCCTTGTACTTCGTTGGGTGTGAATGTTGATGGTGTGTCAGTTGCTCGGATGTTGTGTGCTTTGCGGAGTATGCTGCGTTGGGT